GGAATCACAATAACGATTTCGCATGACTCTTATTTAAAATATTCTTTATTTTGTGACACATCTAGTTTATTTGCCAATAATCATATCATGTGCTCGGTTTCAATCAATTTATTGTTCTATTATGTTCACTGTAACTAATTTCGACGCCGTTTTTTCATTATCATTTTTTATCTTCGTTGGATTCGCATAATTAAACACACAGTTATGTTTTCCCAAGCAATGGAGTCGTTATCCTGTCATTGTTGTGGAGTTCCACATTAGGGATTGTTTTGATTTTAATTGTCCATTGTGCACTATATGTAGGCGAATGAATTTGTCTTGTCCATCTTCACTAATTTCTATGTCCACAATGGGGTAAATTTCGTATATCATTCAAAAACTAAATACCATCTCTATCCTTTAGAGGAATTGAAGAAGATATCCACAACCAAAAACAAGAATAAATCTTCCCCGTCACCTAACCCTGGATCAGATGGAGTTAATTAACCCCTATGTAAATTTTTATAAGAGGCTAGATTTGAAAATTGATTTTGTGGAAGCAATTAGAAGCGTAAAGATAAAGGGAGATTAGCTAGAAAAACCTACTTTTTTAAAAAAATAGTTAGAATAACCTTACTATTTTTTTATTGCTGAAATAATCTATTCTAGATTTTTTTTTTTTTATAATACCAAAATTGTCCTTCGCAGACTCTGCCGAGGTATTGACAGACTCTGCCGAAACATTGACAGACTCTACCGATGTATTGGCAGACTCTGCCAATATCTAAAAATACACAGACTCTGCCGAAACATTAGCAGAGTCTGTCGAAACATTGGCAGACTCTGCCGAGGTATTGGCAGACTCTGCCGAATCATTGGCAGACTCTGCCGAATCATTGGCAGACTCTGCGGAAATATTGGTATACTCTACCGATGTATTGGCAGACTCTACCAGTATCTAAAAATACACAGAATCTGCGAAAATATTGGCAGAGTCCACCAATGTTCGGCAGAGTATGCCAAGGACAATTTTGGTATTATGAAAGAAAAAAAATCCAAAATAGGTTATTTCATCAATAAAAAAAATGGTAAGGTTATTCTAGCTATTTTTTTTTAAAGTAGGTTATTCTAGGTAAATTTTTCAAAGATAAATAAGACAGACACAAGATTTAACGAGGTATCGATTGGTTCTTTCAAACCAACCACTAATCCTCGGCTGCAAAAAGAGTTTATTAGATAACTTTAAGAAGATAAAATACGATAGAAATCACATTTGTCTACGAACATGAACTAAGGTTAACAAGTAAAAACCAATACTCCTCCTTGATCATGGATGTCTTCTTCTTGCAGAAGTCCTTGCTCCGTGCTTCTCACAGCGGCAGAAATTCTTTATCTCTCCCTAAACTCAGCAGCAACACAAACTTGACCCAACTTAAATGAGACTCTGTTCTCTGTTTAAGCTGCAGACTTGTGTGTGTTGAACAAAACTGGACACAACTTCTTTTTATAGTAAAGACACCAACGTCACTTTCCTTTTCTAATAAGGAAATGACACAAATCTCAATCACAATATTAACGTTAGAGAATAAATTGTTAAGCACAAATCCAAATAAAAAGAAAACACATAGAATTCTCTAATAACACAAAGTAGACAAAAAGGTAAACATAATAACGTCAAAAATGAACTAGGGAATCTAACTAAACAAAATACAATTCCCAATATAATAATAAATTCTACAAGTTTC